TTTTTTTTTTTTTTTTTTTTTTTTTTTTTTTGGGTACTGGGGATTGAACTCAGGCCTTTGCACTTATGAGGCAGGTGCTGGAACCATTGAGCTAGATCCCTGGCCCAAAAGACATGTACTTTTTAAGCACATATTCAATGTTATTTCTTCACAGTAATACCTTTATTGGTGTGAAGAATAGAATAAAATTTACATTACCTTATACACTTCACTGAAGCCACCTCTTCCAAGCAAATGAAGTAATAAATATCTTTCATTTAACGTTGGGTGATCCTTGAACCTTAAGAGTAGGGGAAAAAATATACGCAGGCACATTAACAGGCACATGAGAAAGTTCCTTCTATATTAAAGTTTCATTCTCTTAAACTACTGATATCTATTTCTTTGGTTTCTCTACTGTTAATTTCAAATTCCACTCAATATTTCTTTTCATTCTCTACCAGTCTACATGCATGAGTATCACCTATCTTAAGGATTTGATGCTCACAATGCTTTTATAGTTGAATAATGATCAATTACTGTATTCTCATAAAGACCTAATAATCATTGTGCTGATATAAAATCCCTTATCTATTCTTCTGATATTACTTCTCTTGAAAAATATACTTTTATATTAAGAATTATGAGTGATCACAATATATAGTAATTATATATGATTAAATTATATTTATAAACAGGTCTTTATCCATGGGTTAAACTTCACTGTCTTTAGATTTCTATAAAATAAAAATTTAATCATCAATATAAAAAGTAAGGATTTTTCAAAACTTGTAAAAAAAAAAAAAAGTCACTCACACCATCATTATCCTTACTATTTAACATTTATTGTAGCTGGTACATATTAGGTATGTCAACTCACGTAGTTATCAATGAACCTTATGAAGTAAGCCCTGCTACTATGTCTATCTTACAGATGAGGGTACTGCTACACTGAAAGGGTAAGTAACTTGCTTAAGATTAATAGCTAATACATGCAGGGCTTTGCAGAAAAATGTACTTCCAAAATGATGTGCACTCTTGAAATTAAAAAAAAAAAAGCTCAAAAAATTTTTTAAAGTTTTTAAAATAATCTGAAATGCAAACACAATGCATTTTATTGTTTTGTTAAACATCAACTACATATAGGTTTGATAATGTAAGATTTTCTTGAATGACATTAATAAAAGATTTCTGCTATAAGGTACATTATAAATCTATAATAATTTACTTTATTTTAATCAATCTAAGTCATATCCAAAAAGTTTAAATGTTGCTCTCATTAGAAATTTTAACCTGATAGAATTTAGATTATTTCATAATTATATTATTTCCATTCACTTAACATACTGGAATGATCTGTATACTTACAAATTATAAATATACAGACATCCACAGACATTTTCATAAACAAAATATTCATATTTTATAACAGAAACTGGCTATTTCTAATTATGATGCTCATATTAAGTCATGAAGCTTTTTTCTTTAACTTTTATTTGCCATTTATTTTACAATGAATTTATTCCTGTGTTATTTGTTTTTGTTTCTTCAGCTTCTTCTGATATTTTCTTTTCCTTTTTTTTTTGGTACCGGGGATTGAACTCAGGTCCTTGCGCTTGCAAGGCAGCCACTGAACCACTGAGCTAAATCTGGGCCAGATATTTTCTTTTTCTTTTACACAACCTCCTTTTCTGGTTTAGGAATAACTGGTTCCTTTTCAGTGGGGATCATCTCAATGTGGCAGGAGGAGCTCATGTACGGATAAATCTGACCATGGCTTGGTTAAGTACAGGTGCATATTGGCTGCTATATTCACCTGGATGTGTTTAAAAAAAAAAAAAAAAAA